TAATTTTTTTTTTTTTTTTTTGGCTGATCCGAAAAGCGATCCGATCCGTGACTCAAAATCTGTAATGTGATCCGAACCGTGAGTTTTGTGATCCGTTGAACCACTAGTTAACACACACACACCCGGAGCAGTGGGCAGCCATTTTTGCAGCAGTGCACGGGGAGCAGTTTGGGCGTGTTTTATGCAAATGACTAACCTCAGACACAGCAAAGAGTATAGAAGAACAAGAGGCGAAACTCTGATCTTTTTGGGTAACAGCCACTAGGTGGTGCTTCGGTAGCGCGGCTGCCATTTTGGGGTGAAAATTCCAACTGAACAACAGCACAGACACACAGACAAGTCCTAGCCATAGAAACCATAATAATGGATATGACTCTAACCCTGCGTCTCATTCGAAAGGGCTCATCCCTACGCCCTAATTCCTTCAAAGGGTTTACCCTCCGGAGCGAGAGCTTCGAAGGGTTGAAGGGTGTAGGGGACCAAACAACTGTTTCTTGAAGTGCCCTTCTGCGTCATCATCACGTGCCCACACGGACGCGCCGTCATCATGCAAAGAATCTGTGCAAAGGATCATGGGAACCTGTCCATCAGTTGTACCCTTCGAAATCATTCCGAAGGGCCCTTTGAAGTGGCCAGTTTTGAGCACTTCGGTTTGGAACAATATGGCGGCCATGATGGTTTTCACTCCGAAGTGCCCTTCCGAGAGCGATATATCCCGTTTGGAACACATTTACAATTACTTACTATATTATTATTTACTATTACTCCACTAGGTCTGAAATATATATTGTATGTTTTAATCCCCTGGAACACTACAAACATGGTGATCTAGATTAGATGATGCATTGCTGTGTCTCTATCATAATTAAATAATTAAACAATTTTGGAGAAAGTGACTGTACGTGTTTTGTTTTTTTTTACATAAAAGTTTTTTGTTTACGGTCTTCCTTTAACAGACATTAATATAAGACAATACTGCAAAAACAGTTTACCGTCAAGCTGTTATATTCCAGTTATATAGTTATTGTCATTAATTAAATTTAATATGTTGGTATTAATTCAGTGTTAATAATGCGAACACTTGAACTTAAAATATTTTCAACCGAAACTGACATGGTTTCTAGAGAGCAAAAGGTTTTGTGAAAAAAAGGGAAGACTTTAAAATAAAGTCTGTAAAATAAACTGTTAAAAGGATTTGATGATCACTAGTTTAGTGATTGTACGTTATTGTTGTCAACGTTCAGGCTGTATTTCAGCTTTAATGTCAACTCTGGCAGAGTTTAGCTTGATCAAACACACCTGCCAGTAACTTTCTAGAAATCCTGAAGACCTTGATTAGCTTGTTCAGGTGTGTTTGATTAGGGTTGGAGCTCGAGGGCCAGAGTTGAGAAAGTTACAAGTGAGAAAGAAAATGCAAGTGTTATGCCGAGTTCACACTGCACGATTTTCAAAGATGTTGCATCACTAAAATCTGGGTGTTATATTAGATAGCAACTTGTCTTTTGAAAATCATATTTCCCATGTTACAAAAACAGCATTCTTCCATCTTAGAAACACTGCCAAGCTACGAAACATGTTACCTGTTTCTGATGCAGAAAAGCTAGTTCATGCATCCATGACCTCTAGACTGGAATATTGTAATGCACTGCTAGGTGGTTGTCCTGCATCTTCAATAAACAAGCTACAGATAGTCCAAAATGCAGCGGCTAGAGTCCTTACCAGGTCAGGAAAATATAAATCAGAGCACTAAAATAAGGCCTTTTACTTCTAAATCATGAAAGTTTTGATGTAGAAATCCTACTAACATTATCAGAGCATTTGAAGAAGAAAATGATGCATGACACCTTAATAAATGAAGCTGAAAAAAGGAGAGAAAGCTGCAGGAGGGCAAACAGTGTACAAAAAACACCTGTTAAGAGCAATTGAATATACAGTACAAAATAATTCAGCTTTGAGAATGAAAACCAACCTGTTTGTTCCTCAGTATCTTCATGTTTGACTCTGAAAGCTTCTTCAATCATGTCTTCACTCTCCTCTTTAATAAACTCCATCTTTGTTTGTTCCTCAGTATCTTCATGTTTGACTCTGAAAGCTTCTTCAATCTTCATGTCTTCACTCTCCTCTTTAATAAACTCCATCTTTATAATAGTGTGTCTCTCAGTCGCTTCAGCAGGAGTTTTTCTGTGTTTAAGATCAGAATAATTAACAAAAAGATAATAAACCCAATCTAAATCTCTGGGGTGTCTCAATCAGCTCCCTAGTTCAGGCATGTTTGATATGGAATGGCAAAGATACTAAATAGATAAATAAATAAATGAAAAAAAAAAAAGCATGTATTAGATTATTTAGACATTTACTTATTTCACTTTTATTAATTTCCTTATTTATTTATGTCATCATTTATTTCCACATTTATTTAATGTCATATTTATTTAGTATTCATGTATTTGTGTCAGCATTTATTTATTTCCACATTTATGCATGCCTCGGTAATAACTTGTGGTGTGAACGAACAAAAAGCAAGAGCTGGGGGCAAACGTGAGTCAATCAGGAATGAATGCATCTTGCCCACACTGTACCAGCAGTTTATCTTCATAAACGTTATACCGTTTGAAAGCTGAAAACCTTAAGATTCGACCCAAGTCTGTTTTTCAATCCAAACATTACAGCATGATAATACTATTGTGTAAGAAAATATCCATATTTACAACTTTATAAACCTTAATCTCTAGCTTCTGCTAACTGTCGTCCGCGCGTTCACGAGAGAGGCGTCCAGCGGATGACATGAGACGTAGGCAAACGTGGAAGTGACGAACGCGGAAGCGCAGAGGAGAGAGCAAAACAAAACACCGCTCACGATTTGTAAAGAAAAATATCGGAGGACACTGGTTTTCCTTTGCTGTGAACAAAACTCGTTTCTCGCGAGACTAGCATATTCTCACCGGAGCTAATGCTACACCTACATCATCCGCTGGACGCCACTCTCTCGTGAACGCGCGTACGACACAGGCTCTTAAAGGGATAGTTCACCCAAAAATGAAAATTAGATGTTCATCTGCTTACTCCCAGGGCATCCAAGATGTAGGTGACTTTGTTTCTTCAGTAGAACACATTTGATGATTTTTAACTCCAGCCGTTGCAGTCTATCAGTCGTATAATGCATGGCAATGGTAACAAAATCTATGAGTGTAAAAAAAA